ACACACACACACACAGACACAAACATGCATACGTATAATAATTTGGTTCTTGATATTTTTAAAACAATTTTCAGCAGATTGAAATGTAATAACACAAAATTGCCAAATTATTATCTGTCAACTTCATAAATTGGCTGCTATTAGACTTTTTGCACAATAAATGTTTTAAGGTTGCTGTGACAGAAAAATTGCAGGGTTTACTAATAATATTTTTTCATAAAGAAGCATCCATACAATATATTTTACTTGCATAAAACACATTGCAAGTTTAGAGTTAGGTATAGCAAGTTATTGTATTGTATTGTATTTTGGTCCTTTCATTAGTTTCATTTACCAAATGATAATTCTGGCAGAGAAAGCAAGCTTATAAAGAGTAAAACAAAGAACAGTGTGACCTAAATATGTCTTCAGATATAACAGAAGAGTCGGCCTTCAAGGTGATACTGTTTATTAGACCAGAGGCTCAGCCTTTGCCCAAACTCCCAGAGTGCTGCTGGCAATTTCTTCCCAGTAAAATCTCTTGTTTTTAAGCTGAGTATGACAGAATGTTAGAGAGAGGGGAAAAAAAGAATATTCATGAGAAAAGGGGGTTAATGTTCAGTTTGGGGGTTTGGGTTGAGATGTACTTTCAGTATTTTAAATGTTAAGAAAGTTGAGGCTTAATATATGACCGTATATATTTTCATTTTTCCAACTTGTGACAAAAGGTCATGGTATGGATTTGAACCATTTGCCCCRAGCAACAAGTAAATATAAGCAACATCAAGGTTACAGCCTAGACTTTGATATGTTTGTCTGTTTACATTTATGAATCTCAGCTCAAATAGGACATAYATTAGAGTCGTTCTGCAATTTTGTTTTAAATCTTTTAAGATGGATCATTTATGTAAATTAAAAACCTAGCATTCCTTGAAGGAGTGCATATTGTCCTTCATGCCATGGTTTTAAATGAAAATCATTTTGTGCTGAGAAGKGATTCATTTTGGTCAAACTCTAAATTACATTGTGTGCTCTCTCATGTGAGATCTCATATTCGTCCATAAAAATGTGCTGAGGATAACTCTCAGTTACTACCACAGCAAATTTATCTGTATAACTGACTGAGTTATAGACATTTATGTGTTGACTAACGTTACTTAACTGTGACGTCTTGATTTTGGTTGACACCAAAAGTAAATCAGTTATAGATGTTYATTCAATGATTACTTTCTGAGTTTCACTAAGATCCGTTCACTGGTTCATGAGATATTTTGCTAACAAATATTGTTGACTCTATCACATAATGCCAAAACATTTTTTTTTGTTTGCTGAGGTTGCTACGTTGTGGCAGCCATCTTGAAGTAAATATAATTCATTTACAACATTCATTTAAAAAAGCATAAAAGATCGGAAAAGACAAAATGACACATCAAGGACACAAACAGAAAAGCGTGGACAAGATCAAATGTTTTTTTAAAGTGTAGCGCCTTTAACACATTCTTTTCCATCTGTAAATCAATACAAAAGCAATCAGAGAAAACAAACAAACTTGTRAATCTTAAGTATTTGCTTTGCCACAAGAGCAGCAGTAATCTATTTTTTATCTTTTGTATTGAAAATGTAAAAATGTCTTTGGTTAAAGGTTAGAAAACAATGAACATCTTTCAGTTYTACTTTAATAATTACCATTAGAATATAGGATTTAATAAAAGAAATTAAAATTCCACTTCCACTGAGGGGATGTTTTTTTAAACATTGGCTTTTTGTTCCTTTGCAGATTTTTGTTCTTCTGAATATACCTCCTTTCTGCGCTGTCTTGTGGTGGCTGGCTACATATTTTATGACGTTAGAAGCTTACGCTACAGCGTTGATGAGCGTTTGGAAGAAAAAGCCAGACTGGATCAATACAAAAAGCTTTAAGGTAGAAGGCTGCTGCTGTATGCGCTGTAAGAAGCATTAGTTTCTCAGCCTGTCTGTGAGGGTCGCTCCCTGCATTCAGATACTATGTAAATCCAGTGTTTAATTAGAAACCTTTACCTGAAAAACACAAATGGTAACTTAGCTGTTTCAGAGCATAATTATAACAATTTTTGCTGCAAAGGAAGCATATTAAAACAAAAGTTCAGCTCTTTTGAATTGGGCTTTGGAGAGGTGATAATATCAGTTGTGGGTTTTCTTCATAACTCTTTGAACTCTTTTTTTAAATGAAGTTTGGATTCATAGCAGTTCATTKGAACACAGCAAACAGGATTTATATAGCTCATTTTTGCATTACATGATGATTATCACCTGCCACATAAAAATAAATCTCTGTTGATGTCTTTTGCCTGTGTCGATGTGTGTTTGTTTGTCTGTATATTTCATGAATCAGTGAACAAATTTAAATAAGACTCTTACACAGTAACAAACATCTACAGCTAATCCACTTTTGAAGTCAATCACATTTCAAAGTCTTGTATGAATTATCTCAAGGCGAGTGAAAGTATATTACCATAAAATTACTTTGGTAAAAGTTAGTCATCTCTAAAAATGTTACTTGAATAAAAATATCTGACATTTACTGTATTTAAATATCAAAAGTAAATTGTTAATGTGAAATCTTCTTAAGTGTTAAAAGTAAACATTGAGTAAAAGTGAGAAATTACATTGAATGGGAGGTGAACTCCCAAAACTTTTTTTCTAAAGCATAATGACTATAATAATTAAAATATTTTAAGTATAGTCATTTTACTTTAAAATGCCAATGTTGAAAATTTGGGATACACTGCAGTACCTGTAATGTGTTAGCATATAGTATCTCTGCTACCCACATCTTCTAATAATTCATCTCATATGTCCTGTCCTATGAGAGGTACTGTGTCGATAATTCTGGCCCTTTTTTTTTTTTGATTGAATGACAAGTCAGAATGAAAACAAGCCAAAATTAAATAAAAGACTTGGCATGGATTTAACTTATATATTACTTCATTAAGTTTCTACATGGACTCCAAAGCTCTTCCCACTATGGTCAATCAGCCATTCATACACACATTCCCACACTGCTGGCAGTAAGCTACATTGTAGCCACAGCTGTCTTGAGGCCAACTGAAAAAGACAGGGGTTTTACTCCAGTCTAAAATTTTCTTGACATAGGATGATCTTAGTTTTATAAGGGAGTATTAGGCCACAATACAATCTTTTTTTAAATTATAAGAATAAATTCATAATATTACAAGACAAAAGTTGAAAGTCTGCATGAAAAGACAGTTTTACCATTGCATTAAAATCATTTATGTTGAGCGTCTTGTTAAGTTTTACTTTGGTATTGGTTTTATACCATTGCTTCACATGATGAAATCAGGCCACATGACATTGCAGTTAATGGCTGCATTGATGGATTTAGTCATCACATTWTGTAGATACTACACTGTGACCCAAAGGTAATCGCAGACTACATCATAAACACAGTGACGCACATTGGAGTCTGTTCACAGCAGGTCCAAGCCAACACAGGAATGGAAAATGTACATGCCGTGTAAGATTATGACTTTATTCTTGTAATAAAAAATATGAATAAAATGTCTTGTGTGGCCYTAATGTATTGTCTGAGGCCAAACTGAGGCTGTTTAAAGATACACAAGATATGATTTGCTTGTAACTCCACTTCAAAAGATGTGGACTGTCCCTTTAAGTAACTGTCCCTCCACAGCATTTCATAACAAACACTGTCAACAGTAATTGAAGTGTTTTCAGTGGACTAAATAAATAGATTCTTCTTCAAATAATGAGCGGATAATTAGTCATAATCAAGTATGCTAACAAGAGCTGATTTATTAACTGATTTCTCCATACAAGCTTCACTGCATGCCAGCCTTTATTCTAATAACGCTGTCGGTCCCAATCAACATCAACCCATTTTTTTTTTTTTGGTGCAGAGAAAGAAGTCAGTTATAAAGCTTTCAAAGTGCCATGCTTTGCTGATGTATCCACACAGATCTGTATTCAGTGTCCTAATGAAGCAGCTATTCAGAGTGAAAGGTGTTTACACTGATTATAAGTCGGTGGCTCATGCAGTTAATAGCACTACATCTGTTCTTCACTTTATCAGAAAAATATTGTACATCTAGACATCAATAGGTTACTGGTTCAGCAATGTCCCCACAGAGATATTCCTGGCTTCTGGCACAGCACTGAGTGGGAGTTAATGACAAAAAAAAAAAAAA